ACCGGACATGTGCAGCATTGCTGATGGTTCAACCAATCATCATCACGAATGATGCAAGAAATGTATTTGATTGGCTGGTGAAAAGTATTTATAGACCTCTTAACCGGACATGTGCAGCATTGCTGATGGTTCAACCAATCATCATCACGAATGATGCAAGAAATGTATTTGATTGGCTGGTGAAAAGTATTTATAGACCTCTTAACCGGACATGTGCAGCATTGCTGATGGTTCAACCAATCATCATCACGGATGATGCGAGAAACGTATTTAATTGGCGGATGAAAAGTGTTTATCGAACTCTTAACCGGAAAAATATTAACATGGTCAAACGACTTGAAGCTCAGATGATGGTACACATTTAAGCCTGGATATAATGCGTTTTATATGCATGGTTATATATCTTGAAATTTGTATTCACACTAAATAAAGGTGTGAACTTCTTTCCTACTATTGATACTATTATAATAGTATTGTTGTGTCACTACTCGACGGAACATTCTAAATTATTAACAGTTAATCCTCCCCACTGTGAACGAGTATTGTACTACTCTCGCCTGCACCGCGACCACCGTCTTCCAGTGCCGTCCACGCGCTGCTGCAGGTATACTGTATACTGGTATGGCGATCCTAGCGGGTCAAGCTTATGGAATGGTCAAAATCGTTTACAGCTAATTATTACTCAGTAATAATCAGGAGTACTACGTAGTACTAGTATAGGAATGAAAAACGTATTCTTGTCAAGAAGGGGCTCTGGTCTACTGCTTCTGTAGAAGCTGGACTGTTTCTGCTGCATATCGCATGATGAAAGATCGAGTTCCTGATCAAAGGCTTGATGGCTGACTTGAAGTATGATAACACAAATGTTTTGAGTGGAATGTAGAAGTAAGTATTCACGTCTCAGTTTATGATCAGTAACTCGATCTTTTTCGAAGCAAAAATGTTTTGACTGAAATTCTTGGAACTGATCAAATAGATGGCGGTATTTTTTGCATGCTGCAAATACCAATTTACACTATTTGACGATGTGACATGGTCACATGTAAATAAATATTGCTGGTAAGACTTCTACAGTAACACAGCCCACTACTGGTTTTGAGACTTAATGATCACATTTGGTTTTGTTCTTGACCACACAAGTGTTCTCGTCGTCGTCCCTCCTCAGTGCTACCTACTTCCTCGCCCCTCTTGACAATTCTGATGGAATGGCGCGTCAATATTCGATATATACCATATTCACCATGTGGCTTGAGAGCATCCCTTGAAGTTCAATGTGTAGGCACTGAATGTTGACTACAGTACTAGCTAGTACTGCGGAGTATGAAGTGGGGTTGCGACTGTATGTATTGCTGCAAGCATCAGGTATAGTCATACCAGTAGTACAGTATTTGTTTGCTCAGGTATACTAGAAGTATAGTACTTAGTAGTATTTGTTTACAGTTACTAGTGTAGTAGCCTACTCCCTCCGTGTACGACGAGAATTTGCAGTTGTATTGCATAGGAAACCGGTATTACATACTATTAATACTACCTAGTAGTTCCTGTGCAAAACCTGTGAAACATGCAGGATCTGGCACAGAATGACCCACTAACAGCCTCGGTCCCTCGTCTTGAGATCAAGTCGTCCTCCTCTTCCGTCCACGTACCCGCCGCATTCCATTATGTACTGAATCGTTAACATTTACTACGTTATACTAGTATAGCTTAAGGCGTGCGCAGGGAGCAAAAGCTTAGGTCAATATACTTAAGAATGATCTTGCTTAAAAGAATTTTAACTATGCAATTCTGCAAATGCGAGAATTTCTCATCCCTAGCTTCAAGTTAGGCCTACTACATGTAGAAATAAAATACTCAGAATCAATATTCTTATTCCCCCAATCTGCAAATGAGAGATTTTCTCATTTGGAGGGGCCAATACAAATCCAGTAAATCGAAATATTTACAATTGTACAATGCCATTGGCTTAAGCCTACGAATTTACGAATTTACTCGAGTATGCTTGGGCTCTACTGCAAATGAGAGTAATCTCTCATTTGGAACATCTCCCGTCCGACCAGGTTTACGATTTCATCACGTTGTCATGCATATTATAGACAGACAGTACACACAACAGCTAACATGATAGTACTACGCATGGCAAGTCACGTGCTACATCCAGCTCGAGAGTCATTGGTCTCATTTTGCAATTTCCATTGACCCAACGACATCATGGTTCAGTACCAATTTATGGCCCTCGCCGTCACCGCCGTCACAGCCAAGATCTCGGTCCAAGTGCATCGCAACTTGGAAATCGCCAAGCAGTCGAATGTCGTGGTGAAATTTCACTGTGATGAGGCCCTCTCCACCCACCGCCGCCGACTCAAGGTTGGCGCGTCTCGCACCGAAACCATTGAGTCGCTGGTTGATTCGTTGAAGGAGCACACCACCAAGTCTCAGGCGTCGGTCAAGTCGCTCTTGACCGACGAAGTTGAATCGACGGATGTGGAAGTGGCGGGTACGACATGGATCGACTGTTCCATGTACGTCAACAACGCCCCCACCAACCTCGTCCAGAAGATCGCGGCGGTCCCGGAAGTCGAATCCATTTACGAGCCAGTTACAATGACACTTGATGAAACCAAAAGCAATGACAAACCAGCCAGTGCTGTCAATGAGGCCATCCAATGGGGGGTCAAGAAGATCCAAGCGCCGGCGCTGTGGGCCAAGGGCATCAAGGGCGAAGGCATTGTCGTGGCCAACATCGACTCCGGTGTTCACTATTCACACGAGTCGTTGAAGTCGAACTGGCGAAGTGAATACGGTTGGTTCGACCCGCACAACAAGTCGAACCAGCTGCCCGACGACTACGATGGCCACGGCACTCACGTCATGGGCATCATGGTGGGAACAAAAGGTATTGGTGTCGCCCCCAAGGCCAAATGGATTGCGTGCAAAGGGTGCAAGGACACGTGCGATCAACGTATGGTCGTCGAATGCGCTCAATTCCTTCTTTGTCCCCACGACAACGACGTCAAGAAATGCGACCCCAGCAAGGCTCCTCATGTGATCAACATGAGCGTTGGAGTGTACAACGCGAACTTTTATTTGGATGAGATGATTAAAAAGTGGAGAGCAGCGGGAATCATTCCCGTGTTGTCGAACGGCAACGACGGCCGTAAAGGCTGTTGGCATTCAGGTTATCCTGGCATATCCCCTCAAGGGATTGCTGTCGGCTACACTGACGCTAACGATTTTTTGGCGTTGGATTCAAGTTTGGGACCTTCCTTCGTGAACGATAAACTCGTCAAACCCGACATTTCTGCTCCTGGTGTCCGAATCCGTTCCGCAGCACACTACAGTGACAATGGTTATTTGTTCACTTCTGGCGCGAGCATGGCCACGCCTCATGTTTCTGGAGCCATCGCCTTGTACTTGTCTGCCAATAACGGCGCCTCGTACGACCAAGTGTACAGGGCCCTGACCGAGAATGCGGTCACGGACACGTTAACTCCACCCAACAAGACCTGCGGTGGCATTCCCAACACGCAGTATCCCAACAACCTCTTTGGTCACGGCCGCTTGAACATCTTCAACGCCGTGGATGCTAGCATCCGCGGCCTGACTCTTCCCCCACCATCCGAGTCCACCCAAGTCCTGAACCCGACCGATGACCTAAGCACGTGTGGCACCTTGGAAGACAACACGCACTATGTTGGCGGCGACTTGGCTTCGTTCAATCTGACGACTGTTGAATCCTGCTGCGCTGAATGTAAAAAGACACCGCGATGTAAAGCGTTTGTGTGGTATACCCTCAACGGTGGCTTGTGCCGGCTCAAGGACACCCAAGGTCGAAAGGTGCATGTGGACGGAGCCAAGGCTGGCGTGCTACCAGCCCCAGCCTCGGGACGACGGCCGTAGTTTTAGACCAGCTATTTCCATCGTCACCAAACTCACCGACAAGAGTTTCACATTTGTATACCAGATACACCACGTATTAAAAATATAACCAATGTTGTGCTTTCAAGCGAAATTTTGGATTTTGGCGTGAGTTCCTAAAAAAAAAACCACGCGTCGTTCGTAAATCGATTCGATTAGCGCTTTCAAAATTGCCAAGACTTGATTATTCGTCATGACATATGCATCAACTACTACTTATCGCCGTGTGCATGCATGTTCGTGTTAGACATTCTTACCGAGATGAGGACACTGCTACATGCACACTGCCAGCTACGACCACCACCGCTAACGACAATGTGATCCATGGCAGCTTGGTCGCTAAGAACAGGTCAGCGCCGACGATTTCTTCCCGCTAACGTTAGACTCTTGGAAGATCTCCCTCTCAGCTTCGTCCCGCTCGCGTTCTTATCCTTGGATGCGATCGGCGGCCGCGTGTTGACCCCAGACCCCAAACCCATGCTGGAACACAGAGTCCGTCGACCCTTGACTCAACAGCGCGACGGTCATCAAGATAGACTGTCGTCAGTGGACTTCAAACCCTGGATATAACGCGTTTTATATGCATGGTTATCTTGAAATTTGCATTGACTAAACTTATACCATACGCGTTAGTTTTGTCAATTCTCCGTCACTGGAATCGTACTACACGAGGATAACCACGTAATTTGTCCGTCATAACGGACAAATTACTTCGAAGTAATTCATATAGCCACCAGATAATTGCTACTACTAGTAGTACAGAGGAAACCAGACGTTCTACAAGTTCACGAATGACGTTCACGTTATACAGTCTACAGAATTATACTGTAGTACTAATATTTCATATACCAACCAGTACTATGTACTAGTATTACTTCGTACTAGTAATACATAGTACTCTGGAGTATATGTAGGTTTTCAGACCATCTAACTATTACTAATAGTAATATGGTCTGAAAATCGACCCATTCGCTTTCTCAACAAATACAACGATTTGGAAGAACTTTCAACTATGGTGATATAGAGGATTGAACGCGCTGCATCATACATGCGGGCTGTGAAGGATTCGATGTATGCTTCACCAAGTTATTGCTGGTCAAAGGCAAATTGTGAATATTGAGAACGTCAGTAGATAGATGGCCCTAGTTTAGCCTTGAATACACTATACATACACAATTCTATCCTCAATATGGACGTACATTTAATACTACTATTAATACTATTAATAACGTAGAAAACCAGTGAATTGCCCGATACCAGAGTACAGTATGGCCTGAAACATTTTTCATGACGAAATTTCTTTAATTTCTACATACTTCGTATAAACTCTTGTGAATACGACTGTTATTTAACGGTACAATCAGTACTATTAATAATATTAACGTGAAGGGCGTGTTCGGAGCGACTTTTGTGTCAGCGGTTTTTGGAAAAGTAGCCAATGAAAATCGTTTCCATCGACTTTTGCAAAAACCGCTCTGGACGACCTCCTTGAGGTCGTTTACAGCGACTTTTGGGATTGTGGCTATTTATTGGGCAAAAATATCAG